CAGCTGGTCCCTGGCACATGCAGGTCTGAGTCCACCAACAAGCCAGAGGTTTGGAGGAGACCCCCAACACCTTTTGGCTGGGCTAGCACCAGGGACAGCTGGGTGGGAAGAAAGGTGGATGTAGGGATGTGCATACAGAAAAATACTGGAGTTAGAGAGTTTCCTCACTGAAACCTGACCCACCTATCAGCCCTTGGAAGACTTTCCATTTGCTTTCTGAACTCTGAGGCCTAAATGTCATATCATTTGCCCAGCCATAAATAGCTGAGAATCAAACAGACTGTGCTGCTTTTTGGCTAATAGATATGTCATCTAGTGCTGCAACCTTATCTTAAAATCCCACTGCTGTTTGCATTGGAGATCAAGACCTTAAGCTGTCATTTTCTTTCCAAGTTCTAAAGTGCTGGCAGAACATTCATTCAGTTGTGCAACCTCCATTCAGAGGTTCTCAGGTCTTAGGCATGGGGATAATTTTTTGCCCTTTGACAGCTGCTGTAAATCAATACAGCAGCTGGAGGTCACTTGTAGTCAATCAGTAACCAGTCCTGGCAGAGAGGAAAACACTAAATACTTTTATTAAAACAGGCTCTAAACTGGATATTCTTGCTCAGGCTGACATTTTCACAGCTGTGACTTTAAAATCTGGCTCCATCCAGCCTCATTGGAGGTACAGCTTGGTCATGATCTTTTCCTGGTAATTATCCACAGGGAGAATTTCCCAGCACATGCACAAATTACAGCCAAATGGAGCACAAGGTGCTTCAGGTGGAGGAAGTGTGTCCTGTGGTGCAAGGTGCTAATTTGGTGCCCGCTGAATTAATCCTCCTTTTTTCAGGAAATCATTAGGTATTGGCTGAAGGTATGTATGACCTTCATCACAACCACCTCCCTCAGGAGGAATTCTTTCAGGGGTCCTTAATTTCTTTTAAAACAAGTGGAAACCCAGCTCTTAAATACCTTTGCTGTCTGAATCATATTCCAGTGGCGTCATCACTGCTGTGTGCTCCTCGTTCTGGAACTGGTTGCCCAAAAAATCTTCTGCCTGACCTCATCTGGAGCCCCTGCAATGAGAACATGCTCAATTGCCTCTTTCCTTTGAGCTCAGCAGCTCTGGGCGTTATGTGATGCAGTATCTGTCGCTGAGTAATCACCCAGCCAGCTCTCCGTGCGTGCAGCTCCTTGTACCCTGCCAGCTGTGTGGCACCAGCCCTGCGTGGCACCAGCCCCAGGTACAATCTGTGAGCAGCAGCCACACACCATCCCTTTGCTGCTGCTGCTGTTTGTCCCCTGTTAACAGAGTGAGACACAACCACCCGTGACTCCTGTTGGGATCCCGGTGCTGCATGGTGTCCGTTCAGCTGCAGGGTTTGCAGATTTGGGGGTTGCAGTTCTCATCCTCATTCCAGGCTGGGAGTGAGGAAGGTGGGCACCTCATGCTGGTTCAGGGCTATCAAGTATCCATCAGATCCATCCCTGATCCCTGGGGAACTTCTGCAGGTCTCAGACCCAGCCAATGTGGGTCTGTTCCCAGCTTCTTGGTTGGACTCCATCTTAGGAGGTATTTTCCAACCTTAATGATTCTATGATTCTCTGTTGCTTCCTGAGCCAGTGTCTGTGGGGAATGCTGTTTCCCTCCGGTCTGCATGAGAAGGAAAGCTTTGCCATCAGGTCATTGGCCACAGCCATGTGGCTTTGGAGGTGGCATTAATGCCCCAGATCTTCCTTGGAGCCTGACACAGGCACTGGTGCGCCTTCTGAGCCCACAGCCATGCAGTGAAAGGACTCAAGGAAGCTTTTCCCTTTCTCTCTCCTCTCATACATTTTATATAAACTAAATACTAGCATTTCCTTCCAGCTTTCTGACAGCCTGAGAGAAAGACCCCACAGAGCAAGATGGAACCTGAGCTGATGAGGGACACACAAAAGGGACTTCCTGGTGAGGAGCCACATGCACATGCCCATTAATCCTGAAAGGTGGGCCAACATCCCTGCACTGGCCCCGTGCAGGAGCATCCCCAGGCTGCTGGACTGGTCAGGCTTGAATTTTAGGCTTCTTAAGGGTTTAATAAGAGGCTGAACTAAAATTCTAGCTTTGAATGGAGAGCTGAATTCTTCAAGGTCAGAAGGTGGAGAGGCTTGGGGTTGGGGTCAGTGCCATGCCACGGGGAGGTGTGGTGCTCCCAGCACTGCTAGGAACAGGTTTTTTTCCTGGTGAGCAGGTGAGGGATGCCTGTGGCACTGCTCCTTCTGCCTCAGGCACCTCTGATGGTTCTGTGCAGTGGGGCACAGCCAGGGGCACTCCGAGGGGCTCACAGGATCATGTCTGGAGGTTTGGGCAGGAGCTACACGAGAGTGGTTAGGGAGTTGGGCTGGTCTGTTCAGTGTCCATCTCACCCCACCGCATTGGAAAACTGACCCAGAGTGTCCCCCAGGATCTCCTGTGCAGGAAAACCCTTGCACACCAGGCCCACGCGTCCCAAGGAGGCTGGCAGGCACTCCTTGCACAGCCCTGGCTCTCGGTGCCTCAGAGCACTTGCATGCTGCATGTTTTAAGTGCCTGATGCCTTCCCAGGGCATCACCAGGGCTTCACCAGGAGGGAAAGCCAATAAAGCACTTCTGAGCCAAGGCTTCAGCAATGCACTGTGCTGTTTAGCAGCAATGAATCCTCTGCTTTCTGCTCCCAGCTATGTTTGCATCCCAGCTCTTCTGAACAATCAGCTCCATGTCTCCCAAGACATTCCAACACTCCCGAGTCACTTCAGCACTCCCACACTTACAAAATCCCCTAACTTTAGGAAAAAAAGGAGCCATACAAACCCTGTCTTTATTAAACCTTCATCCTCCAAAACCTTTGTGTCAGTATGGCAAGAACATTCCACTTCCTACAGGTTGCTCAAAAATGGCAGATGGGCCATGGATCAGGGGTGGCTGCCACAGCCAGGAATGATCTTGTGGACATGCTGGCTGCTTCAGAGGGCAGCAGGGCTAGCATCTCCCATCTACAGAAAATGGTCTCCACAAGAACATACACAAACATTATGGGCCTTTAATTGGATTTTTTTTTCACATACACTTAGGAAAAGTACAACAAAAAACCCAGCAGGTATTTTCTTGGTCAGCAAAGCCGAGTCCAGACTCCTCTCTCTCCCTCCCACACATCTTCTTGTGAAATTACCCAAATAACTGGAGATTTACATCTGTTCCTGTTGCAGGAACATTTCAGAAATAAACCAAGCCCAAATCACTGGGGGAGGAGCCCAGTTCTCCATCGTGCAGTGGTCTCTACCCATGGCTTGGCTGCTGGTGCAGAGCATGGAATTAGGGGAAGCAGAGCTGAGCTCACATCCGACGCTGTTTCTCTCGCTGTGAGTTTTCCTCCCTGCAACAACCAAACACTCAGCATGCACAGGCTTTGGGGGGGTGCAGATGTCCAACATCTGCCTGTTTAATCTCCTTCCCCAGCCTTGCCATACCTAGTCCCAGCACAGGCCTGCAGCAGTGAACCCGCTGCCAGCCTCAGCCACCCTGCAGCGAGCCCATTAGATGGCACCATGGGGCAGCACATTCCTGCCTCTCTTCCTCCCTTCCTTCCTTTCACCCTGACATGTCTTGACACTTCTGCAGCCCTGAACTGGCCCTTTGTGTAGGGCAGAAAGCTCTAAGCCCTGCTACAGTCACTTGGCTGAGCCCACAGAGCAAGGAGCAGGGACAAGGCTCACTATGCCGTGTTCGCCCCTCTTCCCCGCAATCACAGTCCTCAGCAAGGCAGGATGTTTCCATGATCAGCCTTTTCTTTATTTAAGGATTTTGTATAGGCAAATGTTACATTTTTTGGACACACAAATGTTAAAATGATTGATCCTATGCATACTCACCTGCTCCCACCCACAGCCTGTGCTGGCTGTCTTAGGGAATTCATTCATACACCTGTATACTGTGGCCTGGTGGAAAGTGTATTCTGAAGTTTGAAAGACTCTAAAAAGGCTCTAAAAGGGTGACATTGATAAAAGCCTTTAAATTGTCTGCTTTGTCTGCTTATGTTTGTGCAGTTCAGATTCAGGAGCTTTGTGTATGCCTAATGCAGTTGGCAGACTGTGTATCACATTTTCCTAGGTTGAATTTTGTTCTGACTCCTCTTACTTTGCTCTCTCATCCATAAAAGCAGAATTGTTACTGAAAATAAGCAATAAATTGCTGTGTATGCTCAGGTGTAAAGGCTTTTCAAAAGCAAGACAGCTGGCAGCACACTGCTGACTTGGCTTGAATTTTTTGTGGTAGACAATATATTGATTGAAACTTAAATAGGGATGAGGGTGTTTGCTGACCTTGTTCTGGTGACAGAAATGTCATTTCAGGGTGAGATTGTGCCTTGAGCTTTTACAGGGACCTGTTGTCCTGGGCATAGGATCAAGGGAGTTTGTCCTTCAGTAAGGATTGCAATATAGGTAGTAGTTGTGATTTAAAAATGAGGTTTTTAAAAGGAAAAAAAAGGAAAATTGCAATTAAAAGAAGAAAACTCATGCATAAGTTGGTTAAATGTGCACAATTGTAAGTAGAGACAATAATTTACAGACTTTTCTCTTGAAATATTAGTGCTGCTGTAAGAAGCCAAGCATGTTACTTACAACGACAAATCAGACTGAAAGTGAGACAGATTAAATTGACATTATATATTTCTTAGCTGTGTAGCCAAACAAATGCTATGAATTCTGTCATTTATGATGGAAGCTAGATAAAAATTTTGTAATTAAGTGAGTCACCTAAATAGCACTCCTATATGGAGAAACTGATTTCAAGGCAAGATTAATGGCCTTTTGCTGCTGGTTTACATGCCTGCCAAAGACCAAACTATGTTGTTGCTAAGCATCATTAATGGATTAAAATAGGGGTTCCACATAATTCCTACAGGGTATCTTCAAACAGTGTGTTTAGTTTGGCTCTAGCCTAGCACTTGTTAGCCCTACTAATGGATCAGGGCAGCTCACACATGTGAGGGAGGTTAATGCAATCCCAGGAACTCTTTCAAAAGCTCACAGGTTTTCTTGTGGATGACTTCGCGGAGCTTGCGCACGCGCCGGATGCTGGAGGTGCCCACAAAGCTGTCTGGCTGTAGGATGGCCATGCCATTGTGGACATCCCCCATGATGATGAGCTGGCCATCCACTGTGGTCATGTTGGGACATGGGCAGCTCCAGTCCATGTTCAAAAGCGTGATTTCTAGTGGTTCCTTCCCCAGGAATTTTAATCCCATTTTGTCATCCTTGAGAATCTCCTCCACTGTCACCAGGGCGTGTCCTGAGTCTTGGTCTTCGGTCAGCTCCGTGATGCGGCCCAGGATGACAAAGTCACTTTTGCAGAAGCTGGTCACCAGCTTCTGGCGGGGCTTGCAGGCCTTGCAGTGAGTGTTCTTCGGAAAGGGGCACATCTCCTCGCAGGCCTCCCGGCTCTCAAAGTTATTCTCATTGCCTCCACACCCGCCATAGATAAAGGACTGGCACTGCTTTGTCAAGCTGTTGTAGGCCCACCTAGGCTCGTAGGCCTTGCAGTGGCCTTGAAGGGCAGGCAGGTTGCAGATGTTGATGGGGCCATTCATGCACGTTAGCATGCAGCTCTCGTAGGTCTCAAAGTGGTTGAGGTTGCTGTTGCAGTTCCCATAGATGAAAGTAAAGCAGTTGTTTTTCTTGGCATCATAGTACCACCTGGTCTGCTCTTCCCCACAGTCTTCACTGTCCGGCTGCTTCAGGCACTCGTCGGTAGGAAAATGTGTTTTGTTCTGGGAAGTTTCCTTGGATGTGGGCTCTCCTCTGATGACTGACAAAGGGAAATCTGCCCGGAGGAGGCCACCAGTGTTCTGGGCAGTGCAGGTGTAGATTCCTGCATCCTGCAGCTGCGTATTGTAGATGACCAGCTGGGCGATGTTGGTGACCACGACATTCCCTCTGACATGGTTTGGCTTCATGATGACTTTGTCCTTCCCATCGACCTGCTTCTCCCATGTGATTTCTGGCTTGGGTCTCCCTGAAACGTCGCAGAGGAAGCTGACGGTCTCTCCCACGTAGACGGACTGATGGACGGGGTTGTTCACCAGTGCAGGTGGCAGGATATCAATGACTGTTGTCTCGGAATAGGCAGTGGTAGGGCGAGCTGTTGTTTCTGGGGGGATAGGGCTGGTGTTTGGCCAGGTGAGATGGTACCTACAGGTGACCACATTGAGTGTAATGCCTTTGATGCAGGCCTCTGCATCCATGTAGCACTTGTTGTAGTAGGTGAGTCCATCAGAGGCACAGGTAAAGCTTGGTTCTTTCTCACATCTGTCCTTGCACTTGCAGACAGGCTGCCCGTCCCAGATGTCGCACTCTGAGCCTTGCTGGATGCACATGAAGCGGTCACAGGTTGCCTCTTTGGGCATCCCCACAGGCCCCTTTTTCCCCTTGATGTCCATGTACCGAGCAGCCACACAGCTCTTGGTTCCACAGACATTGGGGCAGCACTTCTCAAAGGTCTCACACTCCTGTGGGGAAGGAAAATAACCTGATCATTACTGGGAACAGAGTAAAGGCCTTTTTGGAGACTCAGCAAGCAGAGAGCTCAGAAACTCAGCTCTGCCACAGATATCCATGGTCTGAAACTCATTGCCCCAGCTGTCAGTGAGTAGAAACATCCCCTCAGCATTTCTCAGGGGGTTCTGAAGTGCTAAAGGAGAACACTCTTGAGAAGGAAAATGTATTTCTGTTTCTTAAGCACACACCTCCTCATAAGTCTTTACCCCAGAGTCACATGGACTGCTTGACTATGAACCAACCGCCCCCTTCCATGCTTTCTGAAATGCCTGAGGACAAGCCCTGAGAAACACGAGCAGATGGAAAGTCTTATCATATGGCTGTAGGCAGTAATCCTTCTTATTTTCCACAGAAGTATGTAAAGTATTATTTGAATTCCCTGAGACTAACAGCCAGCTCTTGGAGGTGAAACTGCCAAGGATTTGTAATTGTTCTCATTGTAGAGGAAATAATAGAATATCTCAAAAGTAAGGTAATAGTTGCTCCAAAAATAGTTTTTCTATGGTATTTAAAAAAAGAAACCCCAAACAGCTCATTATGGCTTCTCTGTCCTATTTTAGTCTTATTTTCAAATGCAGCATCGCTCTTCTAGTGATTTATTACATCCCGCCTTGGCTTCAGCCAGCTCTTAAATTGTGGTTAATTTTAGCAGAATTTTCATCTTCTGTGCAGAAAAGGTATTTGATACATGTGACCAGGGTTGCCGGGTGGTTATAGATTACTTCAAGGGACCAGGAAAACTGCTCCCATGTGCCCAACAGGGCACACTACCACCATGTGTTAAACCTGTACAAGCCCCCTAAAATCCATTAGCTTTCTCCATAAGTGAGAACAAAATGTTTTTTAAGCTACCAAGCTAAAGAGCTTCTTTTGAGTCCAGTATCCTTTCCTTACTGGGAAAAAGATGATCTAATATCAAAAGTCTTTCCCCATTTGCAGCTGCACATTACTAGGTTTCAAAAGCAAAGCTAGAAACCAGGACTGCGGAGGTTTTCAGCTGGGGTTAAGGAGTGTGGCTTGGCAGAGTCCTTGGTTGCCTGCAGTACACTCACTCTATCCAAAGTCCCAGGACTCTGTGCTGCCACTAAGCAAAATGAATATTTGTAACCAGTGACTTCTGGCTTTCAGGTTTTGACCAGTAAATTATTAAAACATCATCATCTGCTACTGCTGCCTCTGCTGCTGGGGTTTTGAAAGTGTTTCACTGTTCATTGCTGCACCTGGTAGTTGGAACAGAGGCAGCTTATTTGGGAATGGCAAAAGTAAAAAGAGCACCTTCATTCCTAACACATGGGATCCATCTGAGTAAATGTCTTTGTTTACTTATAGCCAGAATTTTTGTCAGTTTCCCCCCACTTTTTAACATTGCAGAAACAACCTGGCTACAGAGCACAAACCCAAACACTTTTTTTCAGCACAGTAAATGTTCTGTCAGCCAGGTTTGGGCTGCAGAAGCTTTGTCATGGGACATGATGTAAGAATTAAGACTAGCAGGTATTTTCAGATGCCAGCTTGAGCTGGCAGTGCTGACAGGTTGAAAAATGAATTTTAGGGTGGTAAGCTAAACAAATTTTGAGCTGGGAGCATCCCACAGAACATCTGCCTGGTCATTTTAGCCATGCCCCGTTCTGCACCCCAAGTAAGCTTTGCGCTTCAAATGTAGCAAAGGCTGATGACTTAAATGTTAAATCAAACTATTTCATACAGGATTCCTCCCAGGAATATAAAACATTGATGATGGCCACCAACAACAAAGAGCATAATTACACTGTTAAAATACTACAATTGGCCCCAGGGCATGCTGAGTTCGGGAGTATCAAATTCAGATATTTCTTTTGACATGAAAACAAGGAAAAGGATCAAAGAGAGTGAATGCTATACCCACACCAGCAAAAGTGACAGCTGGCACACACCTCCCCTCTTAACTGATAACTCATCAAACCTTTTCTATGTTATATAGGTCACAGGTCAGTTCACTACATGCACTGTCTGCACTGGGTCCTGCCCAGTGCCAGTGCCCTTGCAGCTGGGACAGAAGGCTCCCACCAAACACCCCGACAGCCCCAGCAGCAGCCGTGACGCAGAGACACAGAAATGTGCATCACTCACCAGGTCAGCGTCGCACTCCCTCTTGCAAGTGCTCTGTGCGTCGACCCACAGGTTGGGGTTCATGTCATTGGGGCATATTCCAGCGTGGGAGTACCGGATTGGAGGTAGGGCTCTCCCTTTCAGAGAGACCTCCAGGAGCAGGAGGACACTGCTCTTCCCTAGCAAGATCCACATCCACCGAGCGAACAGCACCAACAACATCTCAGAATTTCTCCAGGGCAGTGGCAGTGTCTAAGTTGGAAGTAGTTCTTTTTTGCTTGGGGTTGCCTTTTTTTTTTTTTTTTTTTTCTGTAAGCCTTAAGCTTTTGAGGAACTCAGATGCACCTGACTTTGGTAAAATCTTCAGCAAGCTCCTCTGCTGCCTCTGTCGATAGTGCAGTTTGGTCTGGACCTCATTGGATTAAAGGTCCTAGAAAGTCACCCCCTTATTTTAAGAGAAACGCTACTTGTGCGAGCAGAGTTAGCTCTATTTATACCCTGCCTCTGTTAACAACTCAGAAAAAGTAAACTTGATTTCTTTGACAGGCACACGCTTCCTATGTCCTGGTGGCAGTCAGACAGATTTGTTGCAAGAAAAAAAAGCTGGAAAGAGTTCAAAAGGCTGGAACTGGCATGGTGGGACCCCTGCATGTTTCTGAATGCAGGGAGGCCTTCTTAACCCCTTTAGACCTAAAGTACTTCCCTATGCTAAGAATGGCATTTACTTCTGAAAGGGGACTTGTCTAAGTAACAGGGACCGCAGTCAGGGGATTTCCCCACGGCAAGGGGCTACACAATCACTTGCTAAAAGAAACAAATAATAGGATTGAAGCAATTAAAGCCAGAATATCATATTTTAACAAAGGAAGTAGGGAAGAAATAACTTTTTTAAACTTAGGATCAACAAAGCAGAACGTCTTCGTAACTTCTCCTGAGGCTCCTCCAGGCTTTTTCTTCTCTTTGGTTGGGAGATTTCCATGATGCTAAGTTTAATGCTGCCTTCCAGTCCCACCAGGAAGATGTTAAAAGTGTCCCTGAATTCCTCCACATTTTCTGACAGCCAGATCCCATTGTACAGTGCATTGCTGACCCCTTTAACAGCAACAACAAAAAATAGAAGTTCAACTCTATGGAAACCTGCATAAAGGAATGTACAGCATTTTTGCATTAGGGGGTGGGAAGGAAACTCAGTCAAGCTGAGTTCCTCATTCCCTGACTATTACAGCAAGGGCTGATCCTGCTCGTGCTGAACATGTGCCAAAATCCTGAGATAAGTGGCAGAAGTCTGAGCTGCTCAGCACCTTCCAGGATTAGGGCCTCTTGGCTGAGTTTTGGGCTAGCTTGGGTGGATCCTGCATGTTGCTAAGAGCCTCCTGGGACAATCAAGTAAGCTTGCATCCCATGTGGAGGTTCTGCAGGGCTGGACCAGCAGCGCTGTGCCTGGGTAGGAGGAAAGGTTGTGCATCCACTCCATGTCCAGTGCTGAGAGCTGCAAAGCCAGTCAGAGTCAGCCCTTACTTTTTTCCATTGGGCTTATAAATCCAGGGCTGTTTTACATGGCTGAGTTTGGACTTTATTCTCCCCTGAGCAATGATGGCTGCCAACCAGCACAACCAGCAATGAACTGGGTCACCATGGGGCTCCTGCTCTTCCCCTGGGGCCAGACAGCAGAGCACAGCGACCCGCTGGTGTTTCCCGGGATCGCCTGTGGGAGAAAGGGAAATACAACAAGGGAGGGCACCCTGGACCCAACCTGCCCCGGGCTGTGGCATTTCTACAGCAGCCCAGGCTCATAAAAGGGACTGTGTAGCTCTGATTTGTGTTCCTGCATTAACCATATGCACAGTATTTGAATTTCATGGGACGTGCAGAGCGAAGTTGTCCAAATTAGCTACTTATAAGGAGCAAAGTCAATGGCCAGGCAGCAGTTTGCAGTTGATTTATTCACTCTGAAACTTTAGAAACCTGCATGACACTTGTACAAAGTGTGGCTGTGCACTAAATGTTTTATTCAGTATTTGTTTACAAACTCAGCACCCTGTGATGCCTAAAAAATCCAACCAAAAATGACACATTCCCAAGAGATACTTAAAATTCTTGCAGCTCTATTAACAACAAAATCACATGTATTAGTGGTACTGTTGACTAAACAAAGACACTTTATATTGTAAAACTGACTACAGATAAGCTTTGAAACCAGCTGTATGTGGGTCTTGAGGAGTGCAGGTGTCCAGGGTGCTGGGGAAGCTGCCTTGTTGATCTCAACAGCCACTGCACATGGAGGGAGTTTTCCTCAATCCATTGCATTGCCACAGAGTAGCCATGGATGGGATTTTTCCCTGCGAGCTTTAATCTTTTATGGCTGTTTTACACCTTAGCTGCTGGGCCACAGGTGGATCTTACAGTCTCCATCTCCTCTCCTAGTGCCAGACAGCCATGTCCTTGCTAGCTTTGGTGAGTGAGAGACACACTAATGTGGGCCACCATAGGTAGAACTCTGCTCCAAACAGGAAAAAACAGCACTATCTTATTTTTAACTGTCCCTGACCAGGGATCCCTTGCCCAGTGGCACATTTCAGCTGTGGGGAAGCAGAGTGGGGCTCTGAAAAATCAGATACTCATTTGCATCAGACAGGCAGAGCAGTCTTCTGCTTTGCTATGTCCTTCTCCACCCATAGGGATATTCTCCAGTGACAGGTAAGTCCCATTGCAGTTCTCTGCTTTCAGCTCTGAGGGATTGTGTTCCTGGATCAGTCCCTTGGCCACTTGAGCTCAGCCAGGAGAGAGGAAAACATTGCCATAAATCTCCCTGTGAATGTAGGCAGACAGCTCCAGAAGGCAAGAGAAGCAGTGAGGGGCCCAAACAACCCCTGACAGCTGCCCTGTTCCTGCCAGGACATCCCAGAGATGCTGTTACCCAGCCTGAGGAGCACATCCAGGAGGGAAACCACTGTATAGGCTGCCCCAGGTTGGCTCAGGGACAGCAGGGACCCTGATTGCCCCAGCATGGACAGCCAAGCTCTGACTAATGCACTCACTGTCTCCTGGGCTTCATGGACAGCTGTTTACTTGCCTGTTTTAAGTTAATTTAACTGCAGTGACCTCAGTGGATCTGACTGGACACTCCAAAACACCACCAGTTAATGCCAGTTGTGCAGTGAGGTCTCTGTCATGGTCCCCAGCCCAGTTTTTCTGTTCCTCCTTGTGTATAAAGCACTGTGCATTTTTCTTTAATATAAGCGATAAAGTAATCCCCATTCTCGATTTCTATGACCAAATCCATTATGAAAGCTGATTTTATGACTTATCTCAGCCATGTCAGATACTGATGTGATAAAGGTCTTCCCAAAAGAGATCAAGCCTCTGAAGCAACCCTGTTAACTACCCCAAAATCCCCCTTTCTGACCAACATGCTGGAATGAATGAGTCTGCTGGATGGGGAACCTGGATGAACTTCTCTGGATCTTAGATGGACAAACCTGAGCCCCAATGGCACAAAGCAACATCCGGGGTCTGCTCCCAGCGGTGGAGACATTGGTATGTGACCAGCCTCAGTCCTGAAAAGCCCTCCTAGGAGGGCTTGCCTATTTGTCCTGCCCTCAACCACAACAAATACCCAAGGTCCTGGTTAGGGTTATTAATCTTGAACTGGCTTAACTGTTGTTGGGTTTTTTGTAAATTATAGTTTCTTTGTCCTTTTTTCTGCCCTCCTCTTCTGTGCCAAGTGTTGACCGAGTGTGTGCTGTGACACCTTTTAATTGAGGATGGAAACAGGATTCTCTGGTGCACAGAAAAGTATCATTTTATTTGGGTATTTTTCCTTAAGCCCCACTAAAGGAGTAGCAAACTGTTGATCAGATTTACTAGGCCAGCAGTCCTCATCTGGAGTTACTCAGTGGAGGGTGGATTAATTTGCTGGTTTTATTGTGAAAGCTCTTGGCAGGAACTGTCTCCCTGCAATGTTAAAGCTCCAACTCCTATTGATCTCTTCCTCAGCACAGGGGCCCTTCCAGCTCCAGCCTCTCGTGCTCCCTGGGCCCACTGCCATTGGCAGCTGGATTTGCCAACACAAACACGAGCTACCCCCTCTCCAGACAGTCTGTGACTCATCACTGCTGGTGGCACTTGCTGCCTACCCAGGGGCTCCTGGCTGGAGTGGCAGTGCCATGGATGTCCCCAGCACATGCTGCAGATTAAGGCCAGAGGTGAAGGTCGGATGCTGGACCTGCTCTGCCTCTGAGAGCAGTGTAAAAAACGACTCTGTCTGGTCCTTGAGGCTGCCTTCCTGCTCATCTCACAGGACAGCTGGTGACAGCAGGGTCTGGTGCCAACTCCCTGCACTCACAGCATCAATGAGCCCCTTCCTCCAAATGGAACACCCAAATATGCCTTACCCACAGGGACCCTGGTCATGCAGGCTGCTCCAAGGCCATGCTCTTCAGCATGCACCTTCTGTAGGTGGCTCCTTGTCCATGCACAGCTGAAAATTATGATGCCTGTACTCTAAAACAAACCTGTTTCATTTAGACAGTAACAATGTTCCAGGCTGTATGCAAAGCTTATTGCACTTAAAGCTGATAGCCAGACATTTAAAAGCGAACGTCACTGCCAGATCCCTTTTGGTGTGCAGCTGCCAACTGCTTGTCTCAAGCAGAAACATTGCTTTCACAGAGAAATACAGATAATGCCCTGGGACTTCACCTTTATCTTGCTTTGGACTGCAAAGAGTCAAACCTTTCCCTTTGAGTGACATCCTGAACCCAGGCAGGACCTGCAAAGGGGATGGCCAGGGATCCCATCTTGGATGCTTATCACAGCCCTCAGAGGACCACACATCTCCTGCTGGCTGGATGGTTGGCTGAGCAAGGAGGATTTTTGGCAGCATGAGATGCACCTCTGAACATCAAAGTGCAGGCAAAGGCTGCTGTGCTGGCCACATGCACACACACCAGGCAGATTTGGGCTGAAGGTGTACAATGGGAACAGCCTGTCTGGGTCCTATTTTGGCTCTCTTCATATGCACAAGTAGCAGCAGAGTCATATTTCAGTTTTCCCCAAGTTAAGATAGAAATCTCCCTGTAAGCATCCAGAACTAACAAGGAGCTGGTTTTGACTTCTAAAATAACATATCTGAGTAGATCCCAGAGAGCAGGGAAAGCTCAGTGGGCATATTTGGTATGGTGATTGCTCACTGAAAGGAGCTGCTGTTGATGTACACGCTG